CCCCGCAGGAGCTGGAGGCGATGAGCAGATACACGAGCCCGGTGAACCCGGCCGTGTTCCCGCACCTCACCGTGGTGCTGCTGGCCATCGGCATGTTCTTCACCGCCTGGTTCTTCGTGTATCCCCGCGGCTGAGCGCAAGGTCCCCTTGCTGTGCCTCCCAATCCCGGATTATCTCCGTGATTCCCGGGGGCAGGGGAGCGGGTGGGGGTCCCCTCGCCTTGCTGTGCCTCTGTTTTATCACCTTAACCCCCGGCCTGGCAGCTACGAGGTGACATCCACCAAGTACACCCGGGACATCTACAAGGAGCTGCTGATCTCGCTAGTGGCATCGCTCTTCATGGGTTTCGGCGTCCTGTTCCTGCTGCTCTGGGTCGGGATCTACGTCTGAACCCCCCGGGGGGCGTGGATGGGGGATTCGGGAAAGCTCTTTTTATATTTCTTTTGTATTTCAAGAAGAAAACGCCTGTAGCAGGTGTGGTCTGCGACAGGCAGTGACCCACAGGTGAATAAAGGTGGCTCTGTGACACACCTGACTGGCGACTGCTGGTTTGTCTATTTTTTTGTCTTTTTTTTTTTTTTAAACCTGGCTTTTCCAAAGGGCTTGGGTAGAATTAAGGGAAGTCTAAGGCTGGAAAAGCCCTCTAGGATCACCCAGTCCAACCACTCCTCCAGCACTGCCAAGGCCACCACTAACCCATGTCCCCAAGTGCCACACCCACACAGCATTTAAATCCCTCCAGAGATGGAGACTCCACCTCTGGAGCCTGTTCCATGAAGGAATTTTTCCCAATGCCCAACCTAAACCTCTCCTGGTGCAGCTTGAGGCTGTTTCCTCTTGTCCTGTCACTTTCTCTGGGAGAAGAGACCAATCCTACCTGGCTGCACACTCCTGGCAGGGAGTTGAGCAGAGTGGAAAGGTCCCTCCTGAGCCTCCCTTTCTCCACATTGGCACAAGATCTTTGCGATCTTGGGTACTTTGGGACGTGGCCAGTGTTATCCCGGGTTTCTGTGCTGTGTGTGGTCACAGGTGTTCCACTGCCACCTTGTGTCCTGGCTGTGCAAAATAAACTCTAAATATGCTTTTGATCCCTCAGCCTTCTTTGCTGTCACATCTCCTCACCCCTTTTTTTGGGTGTTCTCATCCCTAACCAGGAGTTTTGTGGTGCTGGGTGTGCCCTTCATTAATTCCTGAATTAACTGCCTGGCCTAGAAACAAGGAATTGATTTATATGTCCGCAAGAGGCAGGTTGGAATTTTAGCCCAGCTTTCAAACCATTCCACTTCCAAATCACAAATCCAAGCCCCGATTTCCCATTTGGGAAGGAAGATTTCCTTCTGTGGACTTTTGGATGCTTTTGGATCTGAGTCTGCCCTCTGAAGTGAGCAATGTGATGTCAGAGGCAGGTTTCCCTTTTCTTTTTCCTTCCTTTCTTCCTTTTCCCCTCCTTTTTTCTTTTTCCTCCTTTCTTTGTCCTTTTGCTTTCTTTTTCCTTTTCCCTTTGTCCATTTATCCTTTGTTTTCCCTCTTTATTTTCTTCATTTTTCTCCTACTTCCTTCATTTTCTCTTCCTAATTTCTTTCCCCTTCGTCCTTTCTTTTTCCTCCTTCCTTTCTCCTTTTTTCCCCTTTCCAAAGAACCTTGACTGGGCATATCCAGAAACTTCTGCTGATTAAAGAGAGACTTGGAATTTTCCCCATCCCATGGGCGGTTTTACAGCCATTCACCTGAGTTATTCCATCAGAAAGGGAGGAAAACACCAGGAGCCATCCTTGGATACAAAGCAGTATTTATATATTTTATTCATATGGGCACATTTACCTCCAGCATAAAACAAAGTCTAAATAAGCAAAACAAAACAAACAAACAAAAAAATATCCGGGGAATCCGGAAACTCAGCCCTCAAATTCAGCAAAATATAAATATAAATCAGGAAGAAAAGAGGGAAACCACGCTTGTTCCCCACACATAAAAACCAGGAATCAATAATAACCTGCTACAAATGCAACTCTACGAACTGGCTGGCAAAATACAGTGATTAAAGCTGTGGCAGCAACATTAAAACCAACAAAATTAGTGCTTTACGTGGTGTTTTTTTTTCCTTAATTCTTCCAGTGGTGCCATAGTCTCTATTTACAGGCTTTAAGCTCCAACAGTAGGACAGAAGAGTTGGGAATTTGCTTTTGAAACAACTCCCAAACAGCCTCGTTCTCCACCCTCTTGTCTTCCTTCCCGCCAGGAATGTCTCTTTGCTGCTGGATGGGGAGGGATTTCCCCAGGCTGGAGAGGGAAGGCCTGATTGTGAACTCTCTTGGTACTGATTGGGGACAGGGGAGGGGCAGAGATGCGTTTTGGGGGGGAAATCCATGCACACAGCTGTTTCCACGGGCCTGGAAGCAATTCCATGACTCCTTCATTTTACAATTCTGAGCCCCTTTGGGGCTCGTTCCTGCCTCGCAGGGTAGCAGCCGATGGATGATTTTTACCATGGAATCCTGGAATGGTTTGGGTGGGAAGGGACCTTAAAGCCCATTCAGTCCCACTCCCTGCCATGGGCAGGGACACCTTCCACTGGTCCAGGCAGCTCCAAACCCATCCAACATGTCCTGGAACACTTCCAGGGATGGAACATCCAAAACTTCTCTGGGCAACCTGTGCCACTTTTAAGACATAAGGTACTATTGACACTAAAAGCTTCATCCTGAATCCCTGTCCTCTCCTGATGCCAGGGATTGCTGCCAGCTCCATGTGGGTAGGGCTGACTTTGGCACTCCAGGAATTGCCACATCCCAGTTAAACCACCCGGGCACCATGTCTGAGGCAGCCTTTGGGAATATATGTGGGAAAACACTGTTCCTTGGGGCTGTTCCACAAGGAAAAAGGCACTAGAGATGTTTCCAGGCACTTGGTGTGTTGGGAATCTCCTCAAATCCCATGGCTGAGCATCCTGGGGACACCTGAGAGATCCCAACTTCCTCCTGGGCCACCACTGATTGATTCCTTCCCTCAGGAGTGGGGTGGAATGTACTGGAGTGTCTTGGCTGAGGGGGGTGGTGATTGCAGGCTCTGGCCCCCCAAAATTCCCTGTTTCCTCTTCCAGGAGCTTTTATCCCAGCTCAGCATCACTCACCTGAGGAAGGACGTGCCAGCCTGGGCCACTGATTGCCAAGGGAACAACAAACCTGCCAAGGAAGTCACTTCCCAGTTTAAAACCAGGAAAAATCGCTCAGGGCAGGTGGAGGGAAAAGCACTCAGCTACATCCAGGTGTTTCCTTCTCAATTTTAGGGAAAAATAAAGAATCCTGCTGAGCATAGAGCCTCCCTGCTTGTGCATAGGCATTCCCAGGCCTTGGGGTGTCCTGTTGTCCCACTGAGCTCCCCAAAACTGGGTTTTCCAACTGCTTGGGTGCTCGGAATGCCCTGCTCACCCACTATTCCCTGCTTCCCAGGACTCAGTGGATTTTAGTAACTATAGTTCAGTGTTTCCAGGCCTTGAAACCTCCCTACAAACAGTTCTTGGGGGCAGATGCCAAATCCAAGTGACATCACCAGGAATTTCAGGGCTGCTTCGCTGGGATAAGCTCAGGAGCGGGATGATGGGAGACAAAACCAGATGTGCCCTGGAACCACCACTTTACCTGGATGAAACCCATCTGTTTTTCCAGAGCAGCTTTAGAGCATCCTTAGGATCAGCATGTGGCATTCCCCCTCACTTGTTTCCTCAGGGAAATCCACCTTGGAATACCCTGGAGGTGGCTGAGCCTCCAGGAACGCAGACAACTCCTCTGCAGCACAAGGAGCAGGACGGGGAGAGGGAAGCACAGGGAGCCACTTGGCTTTCCCACAGGACACACCTGGCTCAATGGGGCCAGAAGGAAATTCCTGTTTTTTTTCCAGCTTAAACCCCACAAGAATTCAGTAGTTTAGCAATTTAAGGACTTGTAACAGTAAAATATCCCAAATCCCCCCAGCACAGCGCTGTGAGGGCAGAGACAGGCTGCAGCTGCTGCCATCCCAACTTTTGGGAGAACACCATCCCTCTCCTGAGGCAGAGATCCTGCCTGGACACAGATCCTGGTGCTCCCAGGGACTTGGCCTTGCTCTGCAGGGCACTCCAGGCTTTGCCAGTGCTGCACATCTGGGCAGAGGTTGGCACTGGCTCCAGAGCCGACCAGGCAGCTCCGCACACGCCGCTTCCAAGCGGACAAAAACGGATCCTACCACACTGAATGTGGGTAGGTCCTGGTCATTTGTCACCCCTGGCTTGGGGACAAGTGTCCCCAGGTGTGACACAGCCTCAGCAGCAGCTTGAGTGGGGGTTTTATCCATCCAGACATGGATATCCCACATGGATATGGGATTTAAGAGCACAAAGAAGAGGGGGGATGACGTCGAAGCTGCTCCTTCTCTGGTTGTTCCTAGAGGAACGTGTCCATTGGCAGGTCCGGGAGTCTCTGGGAAGTCCGTGGGAAGTGGCCCTGGGCCAAGCAGAAGGAACAGCAACTCCAGTGTAGAACTTCCAGTAGGTCCAGGCACAGCCATCCTTTCCAGGCCAAACTCCAGCGTTTGGCCCTTGGAAAGGGCTCCAGTGTTGAAGCAATTCCAGTGTTGTGAAGAACTGATGTGGGACATCTGGGAGCACCAGGTGGGGCTCCTGTCCACGGAAGGAGCACCCCTCTGAGATGTGGCAGAGCTGTCCACGCTCAGTGCTGTGTGATGCTTCCAAATCCAGTGTTGGAAGGGGAGGGGGAAGCAATGGAGGACACAAACATCCCCCTAAGGGAAGGACAGGGGTGTGGGATGCTGGGAATCGGTGCGAGGTCCCCCCAGGAGCCACCACAGGGCTGGTGGTGGCTTTTAGGTCCTGTGTGTCCTGAGCTTCAGTGTCTCCAGCCATCACCATTCCAGCTCCGGAGCTGCCGCAGGACACGGGGGTGAGGCGGGGCTGGGGGCCAGCGGAGCAGGGAATTCGGGAGGCTCCCAGTGGCACCAGTTCCCCTCCTGTCTCCGAGCAGAGGGCACTGGTGCTGCCGGGACTCACTCACAGAGCCAGTAGAACTGGAAGTAATAGTCAGTGAAGAGGTGCCCCAGCTGCTCCAGGGAAGTGCTGCAGTCGGCTCGGCCCTAGGAACGGGAAAAGCAGCTTAGAGAGAGAGGGGTGCCACTCCAAGGGTGGAATTCTGCCTGGATTATGGGCTGGGTAGGGACAGATCATCTTCCTACCACCCACAGGACTGTGGGAAGCTCCTGCATTTCCCACATTCCATAAATCCCCCATTTCTCTCCTTCCCACGTGCCCCTGGACCAGCTGCGGGTACTCACCGGCTGCGCCACTCGGAAGTGGTAGGAAAACTCTCGGAAGGACAGCATCACCAGGGGCCAGCGGTGCGAGGTGTCCTGGGGAGGGAAGGGGACAGCTGGTCAGGGATCAGCCTGGGGGATGGCCTCCAGGCTGGATCTGGGAGGAAATCCACAGCCTCCTGCTGTCAAGTGACCCCATGGATGATTCCTGGAGCACAAGTGGGATGAGGAAGG